GATCGACGTCTTACAGAACACATCAAAAAACGCTTCCTGCAATTGTCATTTTGATTATGACTAAATGTAACTGGAAACGGAAGTTCACGTACTACACATTCAGAGCCCTGCGGAATAAGTGACTTTATTACTGCAGAATGAGGCAAGGAGGTGGTGGAGGGAAGCAGAATGAGAGGTGAGGGAAGGTAGGAGGGATGGAGCCGGGTAGAGTGCAACAAATTGAAAATGATACAAGATAAGAGAGAGTGCACATGGCTAAAAACCTTTTTTGAGTGTCTTCAAGTAGACATTGAATGGGCCAAAGGGTTCACTTTGGCCCATTTCACAATTTTCTATTCGGCTCATAGCAGAGGTATCACAACAAAACAGGTAGCTTTCAGAGGTACAGCATCATAAAAGGGCCACCCAAGGGATCGAACCCAGTTTACGTCGAACAAACCATCCATCAAACTATCCATCCTCAGCTGTCGCTAATTTTCTACCAAATTCCTCCGACGAGTTCTGGAACATTAATTCGCAAATCAACCGCCCTACGAAGTCAATCTATAAGCCCGATACTTATCCATCTTCTGCCTTCATGTTTTTGAATTGAAAGTGATGCATGCTGCGCCCCGGAGGAATTCTCTAATTGCAAGTTCATCAGTTGTTTGCCTGCACGCATAGCATTCGTAGAACCTTTATTCTGCTGAACAAGCAAGTCGATTCATCGCCGTAGCATCGTGTTTCAGTGGGTAGAACGCTGCGGCCTGCAAGCGGGCGCCCGGTTTCGATTCCGGGGGGGGGCGGGCGATGCCAATGTTTTGTGTTGCCAAAAATGCTACTAAGGCACAACCAATCTGGAAACAGAAAAAGCAGTAGAACTTCAAAGAGATTGATGCTTGAAATGGTAAAGTAAGAAGAGACAGTTATCGCAAAATTAAGGATAGCAAATTCCCCGAAGAAACTAAAAACGTTAAAAAATAGGAGCTGGTCAAGAGTTCGGTTGTAGATTAGAATGTGCAGCGTTGGAGGTTTGGGGAGCCATGGGTCTCCCCACATTACCGAAATCGGAAATCGGGACACGAACTGGTATAAGCGTGAACAAATGTCCAGAAGAATTTGCACAAAGAAGCTATATTCAAACAAACGGACAGAGCTGCGAGCTGACGTTTTGACAAAGCCTACAGAAGTGTGAAGGAAAACGAAGAAAAAGAAATTCATTTTAATACGACTTTACTAAGAAAAGTCGAGGTCCCCTTCAAAGTAAGTGAATGCCTCATAGAGATCTCACAAAAATAATGGAGGTTATTGCCAACGCTAAATACGAAAACATAAAGGAAAATGGAACAGAATTCGTGTGGAACTGTCTTACCTTTTCTAGCATCTCGTCCTTACGAAATATCTCCATCTTCTTGTAAATTTTCTCGAAATGTTCCATTTTGATAGGATCTGCCCTGAAAAAAGGAAATAATGAAAACTAAATAAACAAAATCACAAAATGAACTAGAATAAACCAAGGGAAATAGTGAATAATACTGGAGTTAGGACGCTCTCAGGTGGGTTGCTGGAATATATTCACCTTTTCCGTTGATTTTGGATATGATCTAACAAATATCCAATACATGTGAGTGCCAGTAACACAATTTCAAACTTCTTAATTAATGAGGGGTTTTTAAGCTTTCACTGAGAGAACCAAAGAGTAAACAGTGGTTTGATGAAGAATGCGCTGATCGATGACCGCGTAGCATCGGTGGTTCAGTGGTAGAATGCTCGCCTGCCACGCGGGCGGCCCGGGTTCGATTCCCGGCCGATGCAATGTTTTGAGTTGCGCCTTAAGTTTCACGCCTTCTCGAGCATTTGCTAAGCCATCCGAAGTTATGCTAGTATTGATTTTACTTTTTAAAAAATGAAATCAAAGCATTTGCTCGAAATATACTTATTCTTTGCTATGAAGTAAAAGCCCTACTTCTTTTCGCACCCCTTTTCTTACCAGGAACAAACAAAACACTAGCGAATTGCTAACAAATAAACATAAACAAAAATGCGTCGGGATAGAAAAAATTTGGTCTACAAAAACAAGCCGTGCATTTCATTTCCTCCAAATTTGCAGAGATGATTGAATGCCTATGCACCAGTCAAACATTCTCAAAAGTAACAAATGTTCAAGAGTAGCAGGACTTCATTTTTGCTGCTAACAAAACCCGTAACAAGCGGAACACATCTCCATCAAACTATGGGGCAAACCTATTCAAATTCTCCCGATCACTCTCGTATTTTCAGCAGGGCCAAGGGTGCATGGCGCAAACAAATTCGACCCATATTTTTACGACAACAGTCATTTGAATAATTGAAGATCAAAAACGGCTCTGCAATATAGCAAAGCTGTTGTAGATGAACCAAATTCAGATCTTATTCAACTGGATTTCAACCCAAAAAAGGATTAGGTAACTGAATGGAATGGTTTTGGTAGATTTAGTTCAATATTTAATCACTTTTAGTAGTGGGATTTATTTTTGAAAAAAAAACGAGAGTTTTTTGCAATTACTGACCGAATTTCATCTTTGTGATCAACGAGCGACCAGAACTTTCGCTCACGTTCCCATCCAAACTTATCACCATTTTCGGCCAGGAAAATCAATCGATCGATAATTTTTGACAGAAACAAGACTTCGGTGAGTGGGAGATTTGGGAACACCTGAAAAGAAGTGCTCATTCAGCTATCAAAAGACCACCAACGAAATGATTCTGCTCACCGCCTTCAATCGTCGACATTCCGGTCGATGTACTTTCCATGCAAGCCGTTGACAGTCTTTACTGCAGTACCGTACAAAGTCACATCTACAGTAGTCGAGAATGAGTAAAAGGACTGTTATACGAACAGGAATCCTCTATTTCAGAAGACGAGAAGAGCGTCGAGTGCAGACCACACACCACAAGTGACGACGGCCAAAGAAAAAAAAAGCCACTTTTTTCTTGGCCGTCGTCACTTGTGGTGTGTGGTCTGCACTCGACGCTCTTCTCGTTTTCCGAAATAGAAGGTACATGACTACTTACGCTGCACATTTTGCCAATTTTTCTCCTTTGACGGGTGGTCGCATACAGTGCGAGCAGAAGAGCTCTGTTTTTGGATTCAACACCTGGTAGGCGAATGGATGCTCGAATAACTGTATAAAAAAGAATTCTAAGGAAAAGGTTCAAAAAACATATTGAAAGAGAAAAAAGGAATTGTGAGAAACCAATATTCCTACAGACGAAAAAGGGTTGTGGTCAGCTGACTGTGAGTCAGGAGATCCATATTGAAGAGCGCGCGGATTCTCAGATAATAAGCTGCCTGCCAGGCGATTTCGTGCATATCTTCTAGGCATATCTAATAGCACTGTAATAGGGCAACCATTACCCTATTATTTTTGACAGGAAACCAAGATATTTTGGCAACCCGCTTCTTCCTTACTTTGTTTGGAATTGCAGATGCACCCCCCCCCCCAACAACTCAAAATTTAAATTAAAAGAAAAGGAAATACAAAAGAAAAAAGAAATTCGATGGCTCATATATAGCATTCAGCACTCAAATGTGAACGGATACGAGCTTTGATGGCTACGGTAACTTTCGAATTTACGCAACACGCGCTGCGCCCCAAAACCTGGACCTCGAGGCCGACGCCAGGATACGTGCTCACCCTCAACTATTGGGGAAATAATACACTTAATGTAGAGGTATTTGTAGTAATTTGGACGTTGGAGAATTTGGGGCGGAGCTGGAGTGTGTCAAGTGGTAGTAAGTTCACGACACTACACTACAGTTCGGCCAAACGGCATCACCGGATTTAGCCTGACCTGGCCATTTTGCGTGAGATATCTGCTTGACAGAGATCCTCAGGCCGCGTTCATAGTTCGCGACTCCGGAGATTAGGATAGTACGCGACAATGAAAAACATATGTATTGACGGGAGATTAGGATAGTAGTAGATTAGGATAGTAGTAGAGTAGGAGATTGCGCTGACAAGATTAGATACGTATCGATTGAAATCGCTGGAGAGTAGTAGATTGCGATATTACGATAGTAGGATAGTAGTAGAGTAGGAGATTAGGATAGTAGTAGATTAGGATAGTGCGCTGACAAGATTAGATATGTATTGATCTATTCGCTTGAAGTCGCCCAATCTACTACTCTCCAGCGATTTCAATCGATACGTATCCAATCTTGTCAGCGCAATCTCCTACTCTACTACTATCCTAATATCCTGTCGCCTACTATCCTAATCTCCCGAGTCGCGAACTATGAACGCGGCCTTACGGTCTTGTTATCCAACCACCAATAATGAAGTTGTAGATGAAAACAGACGATTAATGTATGAAAAACTGGAAAAAAAACCTTCGGGGAGGGTCTTAGACAGGTACTCTCCCTCTGCCGCTCAGCAATGGATAAAGACGCACGTTGGACGAGTTGTCTGAACGTGCCCGCTGTAAACGCGCTCCATTTTTCAATCAATTTTCCCTGTGGTCCCAAAACGAGCACGATTGCCGACGCGTCCAATGACGGCCGGCAAGGGGGCGGGATTGGGGAAATCCCCAAGAACACCCATGTTTGAGGGACTTTCCACCCTGTTTTTGAGTTTCTGAGGTAAGTTCGTTTATTATTTCCACTGCATATGTTCTTCACTAGGGCTCGTGTATCCCTCAGTAGTAGTGGCATTGAAATTTTCGGACCCTCCCTGAACTGTTGCTTTAAAAAGAAGAAAAGGAAATAGAAAAGAAACGAAATTCGACCCTG